TGGATGGGCAGAATCCAATGGGATGAAGTTTAACAAGTCCAAGTGCTGAGTCCTGTGTTTTGGCCACAATAACCCCCAGCAGCATTACAGGCTGGGGATGGTGTGGCTGGGCAGTGCCCAGGCAGAAAGGGACCTGGGGGTGCTGGTGACAGCAGCTGAACATGAGCCAGCAGTGTGCCCTGGTGGCCAAGAAGGCCAATGGCTCCTGGCCTGGATCAGGAATGGTGTGGCCAGCAGGAGCAGGGAGGTCATTCTCCCCCTGTGCTCAGCACTGGTGAGGGCACACCTGGAGTGCTGTGTCCAGTTCTGGCCCTCAGTTTGGGAAGGAATTGAGACACTTGAGCACGTCCAGAGGAGGCAACGAGGCTGGTGAGGGGCTTGGAACACAAACCCTGTAAGGAACAACTGAGGGAGCTGGGGTTGTTTAGCCTGGAGAAAAGGAGACTCAGAGGTGACCTTATCACTCTCTACAACTCCCTGAGAGGTGGCTGTGGTCAGGTGGGGTCAGTCTCTTTCTCCAGGCAACAACTGACAGAATGAGAGGACACAGTCTCAATCTGCATCAAGGGAAATATGGGCTGGATATTAGGAAAAAGTTTTTTACAGAAGGGGTGATAAAGTAATGGAATGGGGATGGATATTAGGAAAAAGTTTTTTACAGAAGGGGTGATAAAGTAATGGAATGGGGAGGTGGTGGAGTCACCATCCCTGGATGTCACTAAAGGACATTAAATGATTCACATGAACGCCTCTCAGTGTTAGAACAGGAAAGAAGAAACTTTCTTCTCTGACTCCAGTATTTATAGATTCCCAGCAATGACCAGGGATTGGATAATTAAGTTACCACCTTCCCAAGCACACTGGTCATGAGAAACATTCATCAAAAGACGTTTCTTAGAAGGAATGTGATAAGCAACTTATGTTTACAGGACTTTCATGGGAAAGTAACTAAAACTATGAAAACATTATCAGGCTTTAGTTTTCAGGGTGACACCTGAATGTGTTTAAAAAAAGACTGGATGTGGCACTCGGTGCCATGGTTTAGTTGAGCTGTTAGGGCTGGGTTGGACTCAATGATCTTGGAGGTCTCTTCCAACCCAGTGATTCTGTGATGCCAGCTGCCTGTGTGTCCTTTGCAGGCATCAGAACCACTGGCTTTGCTTGGCAGGGTTAGGGAAAGGATTTGGACAGAGTTAAAGATGTGAAACAGGTCACCAACTAAAGGAACACGTGTGGCACTTGGTGGGACTGGCTTTGGGACCTGGCCTCATGGCCCCCATCTGTGGGACAACTCTGCTCACAACTCTGGCAGACCATAGAATCACAGAATTGTTTAAGTAGGAAAATACCTCTCAGATTATTGAGTCCAACTGTTATCACAGCACTGCCAAGTTCCCGCTGAACTATGTCCCAGGAGACAAATCTCCATATCTTTTAAACACCTCCAGGAATGATGATCCCACCACTTCCCTGGGCAGTGGCTTGATAATTTTTTCAGTGAAGAAATTCCTTCTGACTTCAAATCTAAGATGATGAACTCTAGGGAGGGTTGTGGGCATCAAGGAATGTTTGCTGCTGAGAATGTGGCTGTGGCTCTGCCAACACCTTTGGTCCTGAAATTACTGGGGGTAAAAAAGTGGGTCTTGGATTTGCACATCCTGCAACATCAGTACAATGTTGCAGATATAGACTTATAAGGCTCTGCAAAAAAAAAACCTTAAATTTATCAAGTACTGTCATAACATGCTGATGCCATCTTTATCTAATAAATAGCACCTGCTGTACCAAAACTGTCTGGCTCTCAAGGTGTGCAGAAGAACTGGCAGGAGATGTTTTGTCCCAGGCTGCACAGGGGAATGCCAAAGTGCCATATGGAAAGGCAGCAGCATGGCATATCGTTCTGTCCTTTCACCTCCCATTACAACCCTTCCTTCCACCTCCCAGATCCATCTCCTGACTCCAACCATGACTTTCCTACTGAGGAGTCTCTGTTTAGCCTCACCATATCCTCAGTTTCATACTAAGCCCCCAAATTGTGCAATATCCCCCAGTTTATTTGCAGACAAAACTTCTCAGTCACATCAAAACTGTGGGTGTTGGCAGGTGACTTCTAGACTCACCCAAAGGAACTCCTGGGCCTGAAAAAAGAGAACTCATGAACTAGGAAGCTTAATCCATTTATGGCAAGCTCTGTCACAATGTTTTCAAATTTACTAAAACTTTAAAGTATAAGTTGTATAATTCCTTTCTGAAAACAGCTGTGCTGAGATGCAGAATTCCAAAGGTCTGCCACAACAGCTGACTGGCAGAACAGAAGTGTGTTTTTCTAGGGAAATCCTACAAATAATCCCTAACACCTCTGGATGAACTCAATCTGAAGTTTACACTCTCTAAAGCTAATAGTATGTGATTGTATTCCTTTTAACAAAAAAGTAATTTTTGTGGTTCTATTTTGTTTATACCGGAAACATCAGCTGCTGTATCAGTCTTTTCTTCTTTTTGCTTGTTTTGAAAGGCAAAAAATAGTTTAAAAGAAAGTTTCTTGATAGCTTGCCCAGATTTAGTGCAGAAAAATTCTCCAGTGTTTGAAGATCTAGGTAACCCAGGTGTGAATTTACAGATTAAGAATGACTTTTGAAGTTTTGTATCCTGCGTACTACAAATGACGTCAACATAATTCTTCATTTCACTCCTACTGCAGCTGTACTCTCCTAAGGGAAGATTATTCAGAGGTTTCATTTACCTTTCTAATCCTTTGTTTTGCCTTGATGTGCAGTACAGGGTAAATTGTTCCTTTTGAACTGCTTTGTACCTGTGGTGAATAATAATGAATAATGAATAAAGTCTTTCCAATGAGCAGTGTTCAGTGAGATCAGACATGGTGAGGAGAAGCCACTCCCCTCTCCTCTCCTCTTCCTTTCAGTCAAAGAAAGGAAAAGTCCAATGTGTCTGAAAAGACAGCAATGCCTTCAGGCCAGCATGTTTCAAAACTCAGAAATTAAGGCTGGAAAAGCAAAAAGAAGTATTCTAAAGGTTAAAGCAAAATTTAGAGGGCTGTCTAAAGCTTTGCCTTTATTGAGGCAAAGAGTGGTGCAGGGAGTACTGGCAGGTGTGTGCAGGCAGGTCAGCCTCTTTGAGCTAAAGGTGTCCCCAGATGAAGAAAGAACAAGCTCTTGGCTGAGAGAGCAGGGACTGGGTCCCACCTATGGGGCTGAGCTCCCCAAACCTCACCAGTGAGAGCCCCACTGTGCTGTGGGCTGCTGCAGAGTGAGCACTGCTTTCCCCACCCGCAAATAAAACATACAGACCTCAACCCAGCGCAACTTTAAGGGTGATGGAGGAGGCAGAGAAAGGCTCTCCCAGCCCTTGGACCCTCAGCTACAAGAGTCCCTCCCCACACAGCAGAAATCCCAAGTGTGAGTCCTTTATGTTTAGTTCATAAACATGTCCCTCATGCCCCCTTTGGCTGCCCCATGACTGGCAGTGCTGTTTCCCTGAACATCCCATCTCCACACGTTCTCCTCCCCAGCTGCCACGTGCAGACAACTGCACCACCTGCGGGGACACGTCCAGAAATGGGCTTGCTTGGGTAACCAGCATCACATTTATCAGCTCTTGCACTGCCCCAGAGCTTCCCTAGGAACTAGGTAAGCAGGGTATTGTCCATGGAAAGCTTTTAAAGCCAACCTCTCCCACTCAGCAGCCCTTACAGTGGGACAGCTCATCTCTGGAAGAGGAGGGGACAGGCAGGGCTTGCAGGACCCTCTTCAGCATCCTGTTTAAATTGAGCCAGACTCGTGCTATACATGAACAGCCGTGTTTTCTTTTCTTCTCCTTTGTGGCTATAGAGGTTACCTCTCCTCATGCAGCTGGGATAGTCATAGGGGAGCTCCAGGACCTGTGCATGTGGAAAAGTTTCTGTTGTTAAAAAAAAAATTAAAAAAAATAAAAATGTTGTGCTTTCAGTGGAGTTTAGCCTCCAGAAACAGGAGAGGGCTCATGCTACGTGACTAGACAGCCTTATGTGAACCAGCTGCAAGTACTCCACGGCCCAGAAGCCGCAGCTTAAAACTTCTTAGGCAGAGCTGACCATAGGAAATACCCATGGAAAAGAAAAATATACCAGAGCTTCCATGTTCCATTCATAGCCAGATGGCTCCAGTGCAGTGTGGCAATTGAACTTTTTAAGTCAGCAACAATAACAACAGAAAGTACAGACTGCCAATCCTTCTAAAGTGGTTATTCTTGATTGCTGCCTGTGCAGACTCAGTATGCCTTTGAGGCATGAGGCACCACAACTCAGTTTATAATACCTTAAAGAAAAATTGCAATTTAATGTTAGAACTGTCATTTTAATGAAGAAGCCACTGTCTCGAAGGCAGCTATCCTAAATGTTGTGATGATAACCAGAACTACTAGGAATATGAATGGCACTGCTTTTAAATGACTGAGTAATCCTGACCAACTAATAATCTTGTCACACAGTGCATTTGATGTACTTGATAATAAATATCTAATTGTGGGTGCATAATTCACCCATCAAATAATGAGAATTACTTGATGTTTGCAAATCATAACAAGACATCTGGATTGAAATAAAAATGACAATTTACTAGTGAATATTTACCCATTTGATGGGTACGCAATTAATTTTTCCTTCAGTCAGGTATTGTATTGTATTATAACATAGCAAGTTCTCTCTTTTGCTGTCACAACTTTTACAGCAAGACATAGTGTGCTATGGCTTCTCCTTCTCCTCCGCTGCTGACTGCCAGCTCTGCATTTCAGGTCAGCTGCTCTGCAGTTGGGTCTCTGCTTCTGCTTCTGCAAAGCTGTGAAACTGGGGAGACTGGCTGGGAAGATAAGTACCCAAATTTATTTTTAAATTAACTGTGAGTACCCAGTTCAGTGATACCCATTTGATCTATCCAATTTAAAATTACAACCCACAGAATTCTCCCACTGTTCTAATAATCCTCCTCTGTCTGCTTCTCCTACAGGTATTGCCTAGCAGGAAACCATGGGCAATTTCAAAGGGCATGCCCTCCCTGGAAGCTTTTTCCTTCTTTTTGGCTTATGGTGGTCAGTGAAGTACCCACTGAAGTACGCCTGTCGAAAAAACAAGAATGCTTGCTACCTTGGCTCCAGGGCAGGATTCCAGCGCCTGGAGTTTGTTGAAGGCATCATCAAAGCTGTCTTTGCCCTCATTGGTAAGTGAGGTGGACTAAGGGCAGGCTGGACTTCTAACACTTCTTGTTTTGAATTTTGTTTTCTGATCAAATGGATCTCCTTGTGTTCTGCTCTTTTTCCCTTTAACCACTGAGAAGTGGTGAGAATCCTGCTGTTAATTACACAGCTGTGGCCATAACATGGTTTCCATCCATAGCGCTCTTCTGGAGCTTCTGTGAGGTCTCCTGACCACTCTTGACCACTTGACCACTGCTGAGCACATCTCAGTGCTCATGTACTGTTCACTGTTCAGGGAGAGAGGTAAGATATTTAGGCAAGGGGCTCTCATGTGCATGCTGGGAGCACCAGACTGTGAAGATTTTGCTTTTCTATTTTGAATTCAACCACCTCGGATGTTGGAAGCCTCCACTGATTTATTGATAAAATATGCAAATGATGCAGATGATTCTTTGATTAATCTGTCAAAAGTGAAAATATTCACACAAAAATATTGAACTCCAGATCTTATTGCTGCAGGACTGTTGTGATGGGGTGTGGGGGAGCTGTTTGTCCTTCTGCTGTGTCCAGGCCTGGGAACAAACCCAGTGGGACAGTTTGAGAGCTGTGTAGCTGACTGGAGGTGTTTAGGTCTTGTTTACATTCTGGCAGACTGTATGGCAGTGATTTAGCTTTAGAGTGTAGTTAAACTAAACAGCAGGGGATCTGAGGAGCTCAGCACCTGTGGCTCAAGTTCAAAAAATATCTAAATTTTAAGCATTTTTGCACTTCTACGTTCTATTTGTCTGCTCTTCTTTAGATGCCCAGAGTTGCTTCATTTCTAATCAAGGTACAGGCTGTGACAGAGTCTTCCTCTTGCTTTTGCTTCCTCTCTGTTAAGATACATCAGCCCTGAAGGGATGTTGTGTCTACAATTTTATCATTAAAAATGATAAAAATCTAAATAATAGCATTCATTTTGAGGTGTGACTGTGGACATCTTTCCTACAAATCTCCCAGTCTGTGTCTAGAGGTAGTTTGTCAGCTAAAACATTAATCTACTGTTTTTATTTTCACTTTGAAACCACAAACTATTATTTTAACATGTGGAAATTCCAATTCCAGTCAAAAGTATGGAAAAAACACTTGGCTAAGGCAGACAGTAAAGGCATCAGGAGTAAAACCTGCTGTTTTCATGTTAGGAAAACTGAAAATAAAGGTGGAACAACACTGCATTTGTTCTACTATACAGCAGGATGCTGGCCTATGCTTTATAAACAATATAATCAGCTTTAATGTTTTAAAAGCAGAACAACTTTTAAACCCTCCCCAAACATCATTGATCATATAAAGCTTTTAAAAGCATTTTTTCCTTGCTGGAGTACCTCAGTTAGCAAGACACTGAGGGGCCAAGGTAAGGGAGAGAGTGGAGCAGTGATTCAAATACTAACCCCATATACATTCCCCCAGGACTTTTAATAACCCTGCACGGTGGAGGGGTTTCCTTTTATGGCTTTAGAGGAAAAATCCCCTCCAAATTATGAGTCTGAACTCCGTTGTCCTGCATGCAGCAGGGCACTGAAATGGTAAATCTATCTTTTGAAGACTTTAGAGTGTGTTATGCTCATGTTTGAACCATTGGAAAAGGCAGCTGAAAAATTTAGTCAGAGGACTACTACAATAGCAATTGTTTAAAAGAAGAAAAAGCAGCACAGAATAACTGTTTTCATTTTCACTGCTGGAAACTGCAAGATATAGATAGTTCCACCAGGAGTAGAGCTGAAGCCTGATTTCCTCTGGTTCTCCACTCTCCAGGTTATGTGATGCTAAAACCTCAAACTCACTGGCATTATTCTGCACAGGGATATATTGCTGCCTCTATGGTTTGTGTAAAGATTTGTCATCAGTTTGTACCTTAAGTACCAGAACAAATGGTTTTTCTTCTTGTTCCATGTGCAGGGATGGTGGCTGAGCAGTTTGTTCCTGATGGACCTCATCTGAAGCTGTACAACTACGAGAAGAAGCACTGGGATCACCTGATGAACTGGCAGCATGCCACCATGTACCTCTTCTATGGCATTTCAGGGCTGGTGGACATCGTGGCACACGGGACCAACGCCCTGCCAGCAGCCACGGACAGGATGATGCTTTCCTTAGCAGTCTTTATTGAAGGTCAGTTTACCTCTCCCTGAAGGGATGTGCATGAATCCTGTGCGTGGGTATTGATCACTGGGAATCTCAAATCAGCCCTACAGAATGATTTCTGGGTGCTGGGCGTTTCACCCCCTGAAACTCTTCAAGGATATCACAAGAAGATCAGTCTTGGCTCTCCTTACACTGCCCAGGTCCAATCATCCAGCATTGTAGAGGTGTATCTTAGCTTTCCCACCTGGCTTAAACAGCAACTGAAATGTTATGAAAATAGCATCAAGAGCCTGTTTTGGGTAAGTGCTCAGTAGCTCAGGCATGTGTTTGATGTAGGTACTGACATGGTACACAACTAGTTAGCTAAAGCCAGCCTGAGTGAAGGTGACACTGGCATAAAGAGAAATGCCAGAAACGTTTCACTGCTGTCTAAAATCAGATGCAGGGAAATTGCAAGGGAAGAAATGATCTAAAAATGATCATTATTTATTCCAGGTTTTCTTTTCTGCTACCATCTTCATGGGAGAGCCATGCTGGATGTTCATGTTCATCAGTTACTGCTATTTGCTGTCTTTGGAGCTGCTGCCTGCATATTTTTGGAAGTTTTTTTCCGTGGCAGTATTGTGCTAGAGATGCTCCGTACTAGCCTCTGCATATTACAAGGCAGCTGGTTCTGGCAGGTAGGTCACTTTTCTGCCTTTGTAATTTCTTCCTCACCAAAGTTAGTCATTTAACCCTTTGCAGATTTTTCACAGGTTATATATATATATAAATTTTAAACACAGACCTCAAAAGACATACAGAAAATAAGTTCCTTTAAAGAGACACAGAAAAAATATTCCTTTTAAGAGATAGATGTATTTCTCATATCCATTTTACAGAAGAAGCAGCAGCTGTTTTACTTCAAGTGCCTTTTATTTGAATCAGTAAAGAAGCTAAAGAGTTTTTCTTGAGCTATTCATGTTACAGAGCTCTCTGATCCCTGTAACATCTTGTTCCAAATTTGCCAGCCAAATGGCAGTGATTTTAGAGCATGGAAATATATGTTGTTCTTTACAAAGAGAGTCTGCTCTGTCAGCTGCTGGAGCAGTGAGTAATGTCCAGTGTAGTAGTGGACAGGTGAGGCAAAGGGCTCATTGAAATGGCCAGATTCAAAAGGTACTTAAGTTACAGAGTCTCATTAGGAGACTGGGTGATGTAAAGCCTCCTGCTTTTCCAGTGCTCTGGGAGCTGAGCAGAAAAAAGAACAGCCAAAACTTTGATATTTCAGGGGTGTGGCTTCTGAGAGGACTCTTCAAAATGTAGCTTCCATGCCCTCACTTACTTGTGAGTCTATCCAATAACAGATATTTGACGGCCACTCTTTCTCTGCTGTCAGAACAAGAGAGAGAGATTTAAGGAGTTGCTGGGATTCTGTAACAGAAGTAGGAGCACTGATGCTGATGTGTGTTTCATCTTATAGTGGAGAATTGAGGTCACTCCAATGATTTTTCTTTCCGGCATGTCTAGACTGGCTTCCCCTTTTTCTATGTTGGCCAGACACGATGAATAGAAATGTTTGCTGTTTCTTAGGAGAACTGGACACCCAGCACCAATTCAAATATTTAAATGCTTGCTCTGGCATGAAGACAGACCTCAGAACTGTCTGTATTTTTCTATAAGTGAACTCAAGAATGTGGTGCTGAAGCACTTGCTGGTTTATTTTCTTGTTTGCAAACTTTCAGCTGGTGATTTAAGAAACTTTGCATAAGAGGAATAGATGCAACCATTGATTCATTGTTTTCTGCTTAGTCTAATTTTAGAACAGATTATTTCTTTAGCTCTAGAGACAATGTGGGTTTTGTTTCAAAGTAAAAATTGAAGTACTAAAAATAGAAGAAATTTTGCAAAATGCACTCCCCTCCTTCTTCCTCTCCTCTTCCCAGTTTCTAAATTCTCAGCTAAATTGCTGAGTGATGACTTTGAAGAGTTCTAAGCAGTAGAGAGTGCTGGTGTTTGTCATGCAAAACCACAGGACTAACCATTTTCCCATTTTATGCACAAATATGATCTTTCCCAGCTTTGAATAAAAACCAGCTATGTATTTCACATGAACTTACAGTCTTGCATGAGGAAGCTCCATTTTTATGCCATTTCTGACCTTTCTCTTGGATGGCCCGGAAGAAATAGACTTGTGGCTCCCCTTTATTTGTTCATTGATTATTCATCTTCCCAGCCATGTAACGCATTCCCAGACACTGCTGGGAAGAAGGGAGGCAGTGCAAATGGCCAGGCAGGTTTTCTGATCCATGAGGTGATTTCAGTTCCAAGCACACAGGGCTGAGCACCAGCCCTCTCCTTACAGTGCGTAATTCTGATTGTTGCAGGGCAGGGCTGTTGGGCAGGCTCCTTAATTTTCTGGACAAGAACAGTGGGTCTCTGGGACTGGCACTTTATCTTCAAAGGCATTTCTGCACAGAGGTGTTTAAAGTGATCCATCACACCTGAGACTGACTACAATATTGTTTCCAACAGTAAACATGGAAATAAGCAACACCATAAGAAAATTAAATATTTGCCTTGTGATGGGTAGCATAAAACATGATATGGCATATGATGCTCATCAAATGACATGTACTAAATCTCTTTTATTTTACTACAGATTGGCTTTGTTCTTTATCCTCCAAATGGGAGCCCAGAGTGGAATCAGATGGATCACACTAACATGATGTTCCTGACCATGTGCTATTGCTGGCATTATGCCTTTGCTTTTCTAATACTTGCAGTGAATTACACAATTGTCAGCTGGTAAGTTACTTGAAACACTGAAACTTTGGTAACTTGTCTATTTAGTCTAGAAGGAGCTTTATTTTAGAAAAGTTTCACTGGCAAATTAGAAGGTTTCTATGAAGTAATTAATTGTCTTGGAAGGTACAATAAAAATGGTTATTAGTAATCAATGAAAAGCACATGACATTGCTTCAGTAGAAAGGGGAAAAAACACACCCATAAATACAGCTCTGATAGCATAATACTTCTCACATAAAAGAAGCTGCAGTAGTATTCCACATTTGTAAGTGCACATAAAGTCAGAAGTAGGAGGTTCTTTTTCTTTTCACCCGCAGAACCTTGTCTCCCACTGCTCATCTCTGCTAATTTTAAGTGGCTTAGTGAGAAGGCTTCATGACTTTGAAGACTAATGCGCAGAATTCCTTGCTAGAAATTTCCTGTGATGAAACCTGATTTCGTTTTCACTAGTAATTTTCACCCCCTAATGTCTAAAGGTAACCCTTTTCCTCTCTGCCCAGTGCTAATTCTGACAAAATTCCAACTGCAGTGTTAATTTGGCTGTAAAAATGCCTCTGCCATCAGATCACAGAGTGTGATCACCTTCTGTCCACAGAACCTTACACAATCCTTTTCCTGCAGCGTCCTAAACCCGCTTCTCACCCCTTGCTTTACCCCCACCATCCTAATAGCCCTATTTAATCACGTTAAATACATAGTTCTTCCAGTCTTGATTTGCACTGAGGTGCCAGTTCTTTTTGTATCTCAATCTGAAAGGCACCAGCACTCCAGGCTGGGTGACTGGTTTGGGGTATAAAGGAGGGCAGCTCTTGGTTGTGCCAGTAATCTCAAGACCCTTCTGATGCTGGGACCAGCGGCTGCTGCAGCACCAGGGGAGGCTGATGATGGCTCTCTGGCAGAGCTCCCCTCTGAGGGTAGTTTGGCCAGACTCTCTCTTTCCCACAGCTTTATGGTCCCTTCCCAAGGGAACACAGTGCCTGCACAACACTGAACCTTCTGGAGGGTTCACTGAGGTTTGTTTAAAGTGCCCTGTGATATGTCCATAGGAGCTAGTGCTTACTTGTCCAAGACAACATCCTTGTTGTACAGGATATATCAGTAAAGGCAGCACTTCCTAACCACAGAATGATGGAATGAGTCATCCTAACTCGGTGATGAAATACTGAGTGATGAAGTGATACTGGTGATGAAGAATTTAACAGGATTTTACCGTGTGAAAAATGGTCAGATGAGCCTTTGAGTTATTATTGACAACTTTTCTGTTGTTGTTTCCAGGGCAGTCCGTTTGAAGGTTAAGCAGTCCCAGTCCATGGAGATGGGTTTACTGAAAACATCTGAACGAGATCACGAGTCAGAAGAAGAAATTTAGCATGAATATGGATTGACCAGTTCATCCACTCCAACCATTAGGCTAATTGATACCTCATTTCTACATATTTTTTTGCCATCTTATTCATTCTTTACTACAACTTGCTTCACAAATATCAATCCCCTATGATGTCAACATTTAATACACAGTTATATACATATTTTTTTTTGTGAAGGGTAAGCTTGATATGGATTTATGCTGGTTGCACTAATACCTTGCATCTCACATGCTTCAAAGAAAATCAGACTAGTGTTAGACAGACTTGGCGTGGATGAGGCGGCACAATGAAGTCTGTATGTTTACCTCATTAAAAGCTAAGCAAAATTCTTTTCAGCCACTGCTGGACATAAAGTTTCCATAATTAGGGTGTCTAGGTATGCATGTTGCTTGCCCTGCAAGTACCTGTGGATAAACAACCGTGCAGACCCGGAAAACAGCAGAACAAGATAAAGAAACCACAGTCTTGTCTTGTGTAACAACTTTGTGTCTCTGCTTGTGTGTCTTTAAGTTAAACAGAAAGAACTTCTCACTGTGAGCATATCGAGTGTTCATTGAAGAGTTTGTAGTGTGTTCACTCCCCCCAGAGACACTACCAAGCCTGCCAGGAGGACCAAAGATGTGTAATATGATCAAAAACCAGTGTTTCATGTTGTTCATGCTTGTGCCTAGACAGTCCTGTGTCTTTGCTGTCCTTTGACTTTGCAAGGCCCTGGAAGTGGCTCTGCCTTCCCTTGGTGCCTGGAACAATTTCTTTTCCAGAAAGGCTGAGGGGTGTCCAGTCAAGCAGCACCTAACTACAAAACCAGCTTGTTTCCCAGTGTTGTTTTCTTTCCTTTGATGGAATTGGATGGTTTTCTGCAGGACTCAGAGCAGACACGTGGCCCACCCCCTGAGTCAGGAGTGGGTAATTCTGCTCTGTGGGCAGGATAAGAGGGTTTTGCATCTCTTTCCCTGTGTCACCCCCTCAGCCACCAGGCAGCCTGACAGCGCTGCACAGTGAGCTGTGGGAGGGCAGATGTTGCCTTCTCAGTAGCTCCATACCTAGCTACCAACACCAGTGAGGGAATTAAAAAATAACACCATTTTTAATGGCATTTATTTTCTCTGTGAAAACTGATCTAGTGGAAAGCACAGTGTTCATGGCCAATGGCAGCAAACTGATTGATTAAAAAAGCTAGCTAATAAAATAGTTAGTACCTCAAAGGGATCCCAAAACACAAAAAAATCCTTTCAGGGTTTTTCTAAAACTACTTTACCTTCAATGTAACATAAATATTTACTTCACTTTTAAGATCTACCTTTTATCTCCCTTTTTTTCAAGGAGCACCTTTCTTAGCTGTTAATGCTGTATTTTAGTCTGTCAGTTTTGTCAGTGCCTTTCCAAAATCAGTGGTGTTGTTTATTCTGAAGGAGATCATCAGAAAGTACTTTGCTTCTCACAGGCAGGAACAATGCAAATTTCTTCACTGCTTTTCTTGATAAATACATTTAATGCCGTGCAAATGTTAAGGTGCTGTATCTCTAAATTAAAGGGATAACTTAAGCAGGATGGAAAGCACAATAAACTGTCTGAGCTTTTGTATGTCTTCTTAGAAGACTTCAGTTGTTAATTTTTAAAATTATTTTAGATGTTTGCCAAGTATTGTGAAGTAACACCTGTGACCAGGTGTCAGATTATCCAGATGAATCTTCTTTGGAAAGCAAGAGCAGTTGGCTCACGTAGGTTTCTACATTTACAAATGTCAAAGAGGAAATTGCACGTTGTTAGCCAAAGATCACTGCTTTTCTTAGCAGCCCCTTTTCAGTGCCTTTCTCTGAAGGCTCTTGGAGATTTTGGCAAGCTTTAGCAAAGCCTGGTTTTGGACATTCTGGTATTGGTATGGTTTGTAGCTCCGTGTCTCAGTTTACAGCGGTCTTTCTACAGAATGAAATAACTGTATTTACTCCACTCTGCAAATCTAAGACTTGAGTTTGATTACTGTGGTTCCATTAAAATCAGATTTTCTGTGGCAGGAAGATCCATGGCTTCCCTGAGGATCTTGCCAGTTAATTGCAGCAGGGATACATTTGCCAAATGTATCCCTGTTATGATCTTACCCTCGCTGCGCCGCATCACTGCTGTCTCTAAATTGTGGGGATTTTTTTTAAAGGGCAAATCTTTCTGCCTGTTAGAATGCTTGAGCCACAAAGCTTCTGTAGTGCTGGGCAGAGAAGATGCTGGTTGTGCATCCAAGAGGATTTGGAGATTATTGCAAGAGTCTGTTGTAATAAACCAAAATCAGCTGATGAATGGGTGAGCTGTGCACATGGAAGGTGTTCAGTGAAATCTCATTTTGAAAAAAGTTCCCTGCTTTTACAGAAGCAAAAAGTGACAGTATTTGAACTCCTTGGCCAGAGAATGTCTGCCTGACCCCGTTCCTCCCCTGGGGAGGAGCCTGGGAACTCTGGCTCCATCCTTACCCGCATCCAGCAGTGGCTGTAGAGCTGGGTCTTTGGAGAAAAACTGAGCAGGATTTGGCCTGCTGAGAGGTGTCACCTGCACCACCCTCTGTGTCCCTGCTGTGAACCTCCTGTAAATGGTTACAGAATAAGCCCAACACATCTGCTGGTTTTAGTTCACTCAGCTTAGCAAAAACACCTCTGAAGAAGCCCAAACTGGAGGCTGATGTAGTCTGTGACACAGAACTGGAGAGCAGGCTTTGTGAAAAAGGCTCTCTCCTCTCACTAGAAAATGTGCCATTACATTATCAGCCTTGGAGAAATGCAAGGAAAAAACAGATCCTGAAGTCTCAAAGAAACAGTAGTCTTTAATTTAATTTTTAATACTTACAGTACAAGAAAAGTGAGTGTTGTGGCGGGGATTTGTGGCTGACAAATTTATGGTGCCACAAAGGAAAGAAACACCTTATTTCAGAGTGGGGTTTTGCTACTTGGAAAGTCTGTCCCATTCTCCTGTGTTCAAAAGAGATGCCCAGGAACAGTAGGGCACCTACTACAATGAAAAAGATACAGCCTTCATCATTTCACAAGCGACAGGTATTGCCTGAGTTGGATGAGGGGAGGGAAGTCCGACAAGTTTACAAACACCACTCAGAAAAAGAAAGCTGATTATTTTTAAATATTGGTGCCTTTGAGACAGGATGGGGTGGGATATACAGGTTACTCTCATAACACATCCAAACATTTGAACAAGTTGCACTTTAATTCAAGAAAGGTCAGTACTACCTTGTCATGTGAAACTGTGATGTTTGTTTTATATTCTGTAAACAAATAATTTTTTTGCCTTGTAACCTAACACAGCACGAAGAGCATATATGACAGCAAGGAATTTGAATCCTCCAGGTTCCCTCATCCTTAAAACTTAGGCACTAAAAAACTTCAGTGGATCAGGTACCTTAATGCCCTCCCAGAAAAAGTTGCAGTTCCTCCAAACTACAGCAGCTGGGGTAGGAGTTGCTGGTAGGAGAAGCTGGTGGAAGAAAACAAAATAGATTTTTATCCAAAAAGGCCTTCAGCATGTGCAGTAGTGGAAGGGAGTCAGGCTCCCAAGGACTAAGCAACAAAGAGCACATCTGTTAAAAGGGAGAAAGACAACTGGAAAACTGCCGGAAAATTTGTCCTTAAAATCTATTCTAGGTACAATATGTGCTCGCTCAAAATATGTGGGAGTAAAAAGCCTCATATTTGTCAAATAAGGAATAACTTGTCCTCAGATGACTTTTTGAACACTAATTTCTATCTCTTTGCTAGGTAAGTGTTGCAGTTCATGGATTACTATATTTGATACACTTCTTAGAATGAAAATACGTTTAGAAAAGTAGATGAAAACTGTAATTATAAATACTACAGCAATGCTACTTAGCAATTTAGTTTAGAAAGGAAGCTCTCACCTATAGACTTCTGCTATTTACTGACAAAACACTCTGCCAGAGATGGCACCTAAGAGGTCAGTGTAAGGGCACAATAAAGGCATGAAATTGGAGCAGAAATGGTTTTGCCTACAAGTCGTGGTTACCAGCCACTGCCTCCCTGAGGAGGAGCAGGAAGAAATGGAAAGCAAGCTGCAGATCCATACAGCTGAATAGCAATCAAGCATCAAGAAATCACTCCCAGCACTCTGAAGAGCATGGGAGGGGCAGCTGTGTTCATGGTATACAGCAGCAAGGTTCTCAGACACATGCTGGGATTTTTATGACTTGTGTGCCTCAGGAAACAGCAGTACAGCAGTGCCCATCCCCTGCTTCCAGCAGGAATGACAGTAAGAGTGAAAGCTTGCACTGCTTTCCTGGAATTTTACTGGCTTGTGACTCGACTCAGATGCAGTTGATACATAGAAAAAAGTCAAAGATGGTGTTTACTGCTGGCACCACACTTTGTGCACATTTGAAAACAAAAAAGAAAGGAAATAAGAAATATCTGGCTCTAATTAAGGCTTAAAAGAAATGGAGGAAAGAAGAAACATAGCCAGTCACTCAGGAGTGATTTTATCTCCCTGCAGCTGCATCACAGATAGAAATTTGGAAGTGTTAAGGTTCCCTTTCAGTTTGACTATTTGATCACACAAAAGTGGTTTAATATTTTCATAAATAAAAGTATACTATCTTTTAAGAGGTGTTTGTTCATTTGTGTTGGTTTTGTCATCTGGTGCCTTAGGTATTTTTTTTTCTCTGTGTTTTATATAAAGTGTTCATGTGAAGTTAGAAATTCACAATCAGTTTTGCTCACAGTCCTACTGCAACTTCCCAGCAGACAAATTGTCTTCCATTTGCAAAGCTGGGCTTGCAACCCAAAGTTTTGGGCTCTTAGTGTTTCATATATCTAAACTCAACATTCTAGTCAAAGATGTCCATGATGATGCTAGCCTTGTCAAGGAAAGAAGCAGGGATGCTTTTTCCATTGAATAGGAGGGGCAGTGTAAGCAACCATGAGAATGAATTACTATTTCTTTCCTATTTTGTCATTTTAAAAAATCTGCAATCATCTATTAGCAAAGGACTCAGACTTGTGATTCAGAAGCTGGGTATGCTTTTAATATACCGCAAATCTCAGCTTAGCAAAGCTGGATGGAGCTTAATGTCACTGAACTGTTCTGTGCCTCAGTTTCCCCATCTTTAAGATCCTAATTGGATTTGTTTTTTGGTTCTGTTTTGTGTGTAAGAGTCCTGAGTCCTGCTCAGGAATGAGCACCTTCCTGTGCATCTCTTGAGGAGATGTTTCTGTCCAGCTGAGCACTCTGACAGCAGTGTGAGCGCTGGCCAGCCCCGCAAACCCTTCCAGGCCCGGGGGATGCCCGGGAGCTGGATGTGTCCCCAGCCTCCACCACGGTGTCCTGCCCCACGGAGCCCCGCGTCTGCCCCGCTCTGCTGAAGCCTCCCATTCCCTGGCAACCCCCTCGGGGGAAGCTGAGGTTTGGTTTCTCGGGGAGTGACAGGGCTCCGGTGGCCCCTGGGCGCTGTTTCCTCCATCCTCGGACCCGCAGCCATCCCCTGAGCTCCTCGGGTCCCTGCGCCCATCCCGGCACTCGGGATGCTTTCCCTTGCCTGCTTCCCATGCTAGTGAGAACAAGGCGGAGAGAGGAAAGATCCAGGACAAGAAACGTGCTTGTAACAACAGGGCTACCACAGACAGACAGACAGACAGCCCCCCTGGCTGGGCAGAGCTGAGCCCAGAGGGACAGCATGCAGCCCTGTCCCTCCTAAAGGTTTGTACCAGCCTGTCGCCAGTGTGGTGGCACAGCCTGTCTTTAATTAAAACCTCTGCGAGCAGACTACTGAGATATTTGGCTATCTGAAGAAGCACATTAACAATTTTGGTGCTCCCATTTTGTAAAAGTAATCTTCATTCTATTCTATTCTATTCTATTCTATTCTATTCTATTCTATTCTATTCTATTCTATTCTATTCTATTCTATTCTATTCTATTCTATTCTATTCTATTCCATTCCATTCCATTCCATTCCATTCCATTCCATTCATAATGTAATTATATTAAAATATTTTAAATTATATTTAATTATATAAGAATAAGAATAAGAATAAGAATAACAATAACAATAAAAATAACAATAACAATAAAAATAAAAATAAAAATAACAATAATAATAAAAATAATATTAATAATAAAAATAAAATTAATAATAAAAATAAATATATTTTATATAATAATAATTAAAATTATTATTTATTATATAAATAATATATAATAATATATATTATAAATAATATATAAAAATAAATTTATAATAATATAATAATAATAATAAAAATAAATTATATATCATATTCCATAGCCTTTCCTATGTCCTTAGGTGTTTTCTTCAATACAGAGTATCTTGGTCACCTGACATGAGATATTTTTTATTTTCAGTATGAATATTTTGAATATGAGTATCATTATGAGCACTTTGCAGATTGCCACCAATTAAATTAAAATAATAAATGCATGTCTTATATCATCTTATACTCATCTTTATTCTTGATAAGAGGAAGAACATTGTAACAATCTGTAAGGCATTAAAGAAAGTACTACTGGAGTAGTAGCAGTAGCAGTAGTATCTGTTGGCTAGACCGTTGTGCTGCATCCCAAGAGACCAGAACCCTTTTTTAGGCTATGTTTTGTACATCCTTGACACATCACATCAGCTTATTGAATCCTGTTTTTTTAAACTGAGATGGAATTGCTTTGGTTACTAAAAAAGCCAAACAAATCTCCTTTCCTCACTAGTGAAAACACCACGTGAAAACAAGGTACTGTCCCTACTTACACAATGGGAATGAATCCATTGAATGCTGATGACAAAAAAGACATGTCTATTCCAACTCATTCTTAAAATAACTCTATTTTCCTCTTCCCTTTAGCTGTGTTGACTTTCACCCTGTGCCAGCCAGCACCGCCCCACCCAGGACACGTGCAGATCTACACTGAGGACCAGTCAGTTCCCAAGAGGTAATAAACACACACACATGTGCCAAAACTCTTTCTTTAGAATGGAAGGTTAAAGCTTTATCAGTAGACAAGTAGTTAATGGCTTATGACAAGAGTATGATTGTATAATAACCATTTTATAGCATTGCAGACAGCCTGCACTACAATATGCCTTCACCCCACTGGGACAGAATTTTGGTTGGAGTCACCTGTTGTGTAGTGACTGTGACCCTTTGGGCTCTGTACATTTGGCAGCTCCTCAGGTTCAAAGCAGGTAATAGATTA